GCGGAAGATTGTGCCTTCGATGCCGGAGGCTTCGACGTCCATTGGCCGATGTCGGAGGAAGGCCTCGATGCTGGAGCCGTCGACGTGGATGGTCTGTCTGAATCCATCGCTGAGGGAGGATTTAAAGCCGACTCAAGTAGCACTACTTTAAGACGCGCAGCTCGGTTTTTTTCTTGTCTGGTTCAAAAACCTGGCACAGAGCCGACAAGATTCTGGACGGTGAAACTCCCCCAAACAGAAAATGCAAAAGGTGTGACGGTCAGGTGGAGAAAGTTTACTGCCACAACCCTTGCAACGATTGAAAAATCCCGACTTCTTCTCCATAAACGAAGTAAAAAGAGAGAAGGATCAATCCAGCGCGTGCGCACTAGATCCCATGGGTGTGAAGCACAGAGACCACGTCGAAGATTACACGGAGACGCCACGGGAAACCCTCTCTCACAAACCCTCTGCCCTTCAGTCGCAGAAAACCAGAACGCGGGGCACCGTGGGAACGGCTCAGCGGGAGCCCGTGCGCTGGGGGGGGGGGCTCGTCGGAGAAGCTTATCGCTGAAGCATCGTTCTTCCCTTTCCACTTCCCATCCACCACCTATACTGTCTATAAAGAACTGAGCCTGAAGGAATTAAAAGTGCAGCTTCCTCCTCCGTGGAGTTCTGTGGGCTGGATCGATGGGAAGCCTGGCTCCCAGGTCTAGATACCTCTCCCTTCCCTTCGGATAAGGGCACTGAACATGGTCCTGACATGACCTTATCTTAATTGAATTACGACCCACACACTAAGACGGGCCCGCCAAACAAAGAAAGAAGAAGCCGCCAGACCAAACGACCATGCCATACGCCAGGAACCGAGCTCTGATGCCCGAAAGACCGCCCGGGAAGAACAACCAAGAAACAGCGAGCCCTGCCACCTGGGTGCCGGTAGGCAGCCCCAACCCCTGTAGACATGTGGTCTTAGCTAGGAATAAATTTGGAACTTGTAAGGCGCTCAGAGACCCTTCAGGGTTGGAGCGGGGTAGAAATCGAAGATACAAATAAATAAATAAATAAATAGTACAATCACCCCCCCCCCCCAACTGAGCGGAGCAGTTCACATCCTGAGAAGTCTGTAACTGCTGTAATCTTAAAACGGGCACTGGGCAGTGTGAGACCCTGTGCAGCTCCAGGTTGCTGCTGAGCGGTTTGCGGGCTAGAGAAATCCAGAGGCGGTTTTGCCATTGCCTTCCTCTGCATAGCAACCCTGGACTTCCTTGGTGGTCTCCCACCCAAATATTCACCAGGGCCGACCCTGATTAACGGCTGAGATCTGATGAGATCAGACTAGCCTGGCCTATCCAGGTCAGGACACAAACCTTTTACTTTGCCCATTCCCCTCCCCTGCTGACTATTACTAATAATTATTGTATTGGAGAGCCAGTTGGGTTAAGTGGTTAAGTTGATTCCCCACTCCTCTACTTGCAGCTGCTGGATGACCTTGGGCAAGCCATAGTTCTGGCACAGCTGTTCTCTCAAGGACAGTTCTGGAAAGAGCTCTCTCAGCCCGGCCTACCTCACAGGGGGAGGGGAAGGGAAAGGAGTTTGTAAGCCGCTCTGAGACTCTGAGTGAAGGGCGGGGTATAAATCCAATCTCCTCTTCTTCTATCGCATTGTGTGTAGTATAGCCAAGAGATCCTAAGATTGCCTGGCAGCCTGAAGTTCTAGCTCGTTTAGCGTTATGCACCACTAGGTGGCGAGCTAGGCTTATTCTTTGGGCTGAGAGAGCTCTGAAAGAGCTGTGACTGACCCAAGGTCACTTAGCTGACCTCATGTGGAGGAGTGCGGAATCAACCCCGGTTCTCCAGAATAGAGTCTGTCGCTCTTAAAGCTCTTAACCACTACACCACACTGGCTCTCGCTGACTAGTACTGGTTTATACGCACACTTTGATTATCAGCTCTAATTTCGGTTTGTTGGGAACGAGCGGCTACAATAAAACCATCACAGCTGACTTACAGGTTTTCAAGGCAAGAGACGTTCAGAGGTGGTTTGGCCATTGCCTGCCTCTGCATAGCAACCCTGGACTTCCTTGGTGGTCTCCCCCTCCAAGTACTAACCGGGGCCAACCCTGCTTAGCTTCATGAGATCCCCTTCTACAGACTGTGTCACTAACAGACAAGCAGCCGAGACCCTCTTAACTTCCTGAACTCGGCAGTGCGACGATACTTTCACGGCCAGCCCTCATTCCAGTTTGTTGGAAATGAACTACTACGCTAAAGCCATTACATGGTGGAGGGGTGGAAAGTGCCATCAAGCCACAGCCGACTCACAGGGATCCCGTAGTGTTGTCACGGTAAGAGACAAACAGAGGTGGCTTTGCCAGTGCCTGCCTCTGCACAGCGACCCTGGACTTCCTCGGTGGTCTCCCATCCAAGTACTAACCAGGACCGACCCTGCTTAGCTTCTGAGAACTGACAAGATCGGGCTGGGCCAGGCCATCCAGATCAGGGCAAAAACCATTACAGGGCAAAGCATGTTTCTTGCAGACTCAGGGAGTCGGAAGGGACCTCCAGGGTCATCTAGTCCAACCCCCTGCACAATGCAGAAAATTCACAAATACCTCCCCCACCCCCAGGGACCCCTGCTCCATGCCCAGAAGATGGCAAAACAAACAAACAAAAAACCCAAAAAACCCTCCAGGGTCCCTGGCCAAAGTGGCCTGGAGAAAAATTGCTTCCTGACCCCAAATTCCACACTTCTTATGGAGTTTGTTGATCATTTAAAAAAAAACCCCAAAACACCTTCTTGTTATCAATATGGAAGGAACAAAGCAGAGAGAAGCGACAGCCCAGAAGGGCCAAATACACCTACCTGGAGCCCGCCGTGTTGCCAGAAAGGCAGTTGTTGACCAAGTGACCGGGAGTCCCCGCGGGCGACACCGGCAGCGGCTCTTCTTCGCTGACTCCGTCCACCTTCGCCTTCTTGGGGGGCACGTATCCAACGAAGGTGGAGACTCTCTTGACCCGGATGGCCGGCCGGGGGCTAGGCAAGGACACCAGGCTTGGGAGGCTGAGCACCCCCGGATTCATGGCCACCGGCTGCAGGAGACAGGTCTGGGGGAGCCCCAGCGCCAGCTGCCCTCCGGCGGCCTGAGGTGCGGTGCCCACCACATTCATCATGGGCACCATGCTGAGCACCGGGCCCCGGATGGTCCAGGTGGGGACAGGGCTCGGAGCGAGGCTCAGGGGTGCCCGTAAGATGACCGTGTTCAGGCTGGGCGCAGGCTGTGGCGGGGCAGGGTTTGGCTTGGCCTTGCAGCCGGAAGCCTGCTCCCCGTCTTGGGCGTTGAACGGGCCTTCTTCGCCCTGCACTTTCACGCAGACCTGGCCCAGCTTGTTCACCAGGATGATTCTGGAGCTGGGCTTCTGGCCCTCGGAGCCCAGCACCCTCACCTCGGGGCCGCTGGGCACTTGGGCGCAGCTGAGCATTAGGGTCGGGGCGGGATCCGGAGCAGGGCTCGGGAGGGCTGACTCGGTGCCATTAAGACTGGCGGAGGTAGGGGGCGGCGGGGGCGGAGAGGTCCGGTTGGGGCAGACGGGCAGCGGGGCCTTGCTCTCGGGGGCGTCCATGTTCTTCAGCACAAAGTCCACGATGTCGGAGGGGAGGTCCTCCGGAGCGGGAGCGGGGCCAGCCAGCTCCCTGTCAACCCTCGGCTCCACCTGCTTGCCCTTGGCAGACGGGTGCCCCCCCGTGGCATCCGCCTCGCTGTCCGTGCCGTCGTCTATCCCATCCAGCTGGTGGATGTGGGGCAAGGGCAGGTCCAGCGGGTACGGGGGCAGAGGCGGCTCTCGCGTCACCACTGTGCGGGGGAAGCGGAAGTAGCGCCCGGCCTCTCCTTCCTCCTCGCTCTCCACGTCCCCCAGCCCGTCCAGCTGAGGCAGCCCCAGGCCGGGCGAGGGGCACGTCCGCGGCACGCCCAGCTCCTCTTCCTGAAAGGGCTCGTCCAAGAGACTGTCGTCAAATTCCAAGTCGGAGACGTTGAGCTCGAAAGCCAGCTCTGGGGGCACAGCGGGGGGCGAGGGAGGGGGTGAGGTAGGTGTGGGCCGCTGCCCTTCGGAGGTAGACGTGTGCTTAAAGCCGCTCCCAGCGAGGGGTTCGTCTGGGAGAGGCGGCATTGCCCTGAGAGTGGTGCTGGGGGGACTAGTCCTGTTCGCAGTGGCTTGAGGGGGGAGGGAAGACCGGCGGGTGCGGGGGGCACCGCTAGGCGACAAAGGGCTGAGGCGTTGAGTGCGGCGTGGAGTGGGGAAGTCCGGGTCACCCACCGTCAAGATGTGATGGGACATGGATGATGCACTCCCTAGGGAAGGGGGGGGGGAGACAAAAGGAAAAACGTTTCAAGGGAAGGCCTACCCTCATTTCCAAGTTACAACTTCCTGTCTAGGGATCTTTCAAAATAGGTATGCCATCTCCTAATTCTATTGTCACAGTTTACAACTTTCACTCAAAACCTGACACAGGTATTTAGCATCACGGCCCATTACAAACACCCTCCCAAAACCCCCACAACCCTTCAGATTAGAACCATCAATGGTTTTATTCCCCCAGCTCTCAGCTTGCTGTAGAAATTCCCGCCTTTCTTCCATTACACAACTAAGAAACACCACTGCCTAGTGGTTAGAGGATCGGACTAGAATCTGGAGACTGAAGTTCGAATTCCCCACTACGCCATGGAAGTTTACTGGGTGACCTCGGGCCAGTCACTGCCTCTCCTCTCAGCCTAACCTACTTCCCAAGGCTATTGTGAGGACAAAATGGTGAACAGAAGAACTATGTAAGCTACTTGGGGTCCCTGCTGGGGAAAAAGATGGGGTAATAATTTATAATTATCATATGGCAGTGTGTGTAGTATAACCAGGAGATCCTAAGATTGTCTGGCAGCCTGAAGTTCTAGCTCTTTTGGCATTATGCACCATGAGGTGGTGAGCTACTTATTTTTGAGGCAAGGGATGTTCCAGAGGTGGAATGTCACATCCCTGGTATTCTTTGGAGGTCGCCCTTCCAAATACTAGCCAAGTCCAACACTGCTTAGCTTCTGAGATCTGATGGGATCCAGCTAGCCGCGGCTATCCAGGTCAGGGGTAAAAGATGGGGTATAAAGTAAATAAATACAGAGTGTTCTCAAGAGATTTCCCATCTAGGAATTGACTGGATACTAACTTGTTACACTTCTGTAAGGTCTTATGCCTTGAAAGACACTATCTGAGATCCCTCAGTACCCTGGGCAGCCATAAGATGTATCAGAAGGCCACGTGAAGAACACAAGACGAGCCCAGCTGGATCAGACCACTGGTCCATCTAGTCCAGCACCCTGTCTCACACAGTGGCCAACCAGCTCCTCTGGAGGGCCAACAAAAGGGCAGAGAGGCCGAGACCTTTCCCCGATGTTGCCACCTGGCACCAGGATACAGAGGTTGACTGCCTCTGAATGTGGAGGTTCCCTTTAGTCACCATGGCTGGTAGTCCCTGATAAGACTTATCCTCCATGAATCTATCTCATCCCCTTTTAAAGACATCCATGCCTGTGGCCCATCACTACATCCTCTGGCAACGAATTCCACATTTTAATCACTCACCGTGTAAAGAAGTAGAAATGGGAAGGCGGAGCGCACGGGGCTATAAAGCTACCAGAGTGATCTTTCATGAGTCCCACTGCTGCAGTTTCTGCTCTCTCCCGTTTGGCCCCGTTTCGCTTCTAACGTCAGGCTGATTGTGAGAACAGGTGGCAACGACCCCCCTCCCCCCAAGACCTGCAGTAGGCAACTCCAGTTTTGGGCTCCCTGCCCATTGCGCAGAGCGGGGACTCACCGGGCGAGGGCAGCGGGCGGGACGACACCCCACTTATAGGCCGCCGCGTGGGGGAGTAGTTGGGCACTTTGATGCGAGCTCCAGAGAGAGATTTGGGCTTGGAGGCAGCAGGTTCCGGCGGGGGCAGAGGCCCTGGGTTCTGTGCGGGGGAGTGGCGCTCTGGTGGCGGCAAGGGCGGGGCCACATCCTGAAGGTGCTTCTCTCCAAGGTTAGCATCTGAAACAAGAATTCCCAGGCCGTCAAAGGCGGAAGGGGGGCAGCAAGAAAGGACACGGAACCCCATGACGCTCACCCCGGACAGGTGTTTGGTATCAAGCAAAAAAAGCCCAGAGCCTTTCCCCTAGCATGAAGTGGCCACAACTGGAGAAAGCAGAATGGTTCTGAGTCCTTCCTCACCACCAGGGCCTCTGGGCAAAAGGCCAGATAGAAGACAGCTGGGCAACTTTACAATTAACCCAAAGCCGAAAATAAAGTAGAATTCTGTGACTGAGAGAGATGGCACAAATTCGGCAGATACAAACCTACTAGTTTAGTCTTGCATATTTTTATCCTGCTTACGCTAGTTATGAGAAGGGGCAAAGCAGGCACCCCCCCAAAAAAAAGGCAGAAAGGCCGCTCGACTTTCCTCCCCAGATTTGGAGTTGCACCCACCACTGACCAATTTCACAATAAATTCTCATACAAATGGCAACCGGGATTCTTGCAGTGGTTGAATTCCACATTCTGACTGAGTACTCATATTCTTTACGGGACACACCGTGCCTTGAATCTGGGTGTGTCTGGTAAGCTACCTGCCTGGACAAGGATGGCTACTTGCCCAGGGAAAAGTGACTAATTGCCCGTGCGGCCCTCAAAGACTCGCCGATCTCCTCTCGTCGCCAGGCCGACCGGCTCCAAAGAGACACAGGAGGCGGGTGGAAGCCAAACCCACCCCCCACGTGGGACCTGGCAGGACAAGCCCCTCCGAAAACAGGCCCTGTTCAACTATGCCTCAGCTGGTCTCACCTGCAGGGACGGCTGGGCTGTGCGCAATGGTGTGGTTCTCCTCCTGCACCCCCAGCGCGTCCGGCTCCTCCTGGTTCAGCTTCGGCCGGTACTCCAGGACCCGGCACTTGTACCAGCACCGCTTGCGGGCATCCACAGTGCTCCAGTAAATCCGGGAACACCTGGGAGGTGGGAGGACAGGCAAAACATACTGACCCATTTGGGTGGGGAGAGACAATCCCGCCGCTTCGGAGAGAAAAGGCTGCTTTCCTCGTTTCTGCACCTGAGCTGTGGGGCACAGCCAGGCCCCAGATTGCCCTAGGTAAGCCTCGAGGTTATTGAGTATTTTTCTTCTGCTTAACAACTGCATGAGCCTTTCCCAGTGAGCCAATGTTAATAGCTGAAGGAGGGAGAAACAGACCCCATCAAGACGGATCAAGATGGGCAGCCATGTTAGTCTGTCTGCAGTACCTGTCCGTAGGTATCTCACGAAGTGAGCGGTGATTCACAAAAGCTCCTACCCTGCCACAAATTGTTAGTCTTTAAGGTGCGACTGGACCCAGCCAGGAAAAGGTTTTAAGAGCTGGGTTTAAGAGGGAGCATCTTTGTCCACTGATGCATCGTCTCGTAGCATTAATAGTGCCGTGAACATCTTTGGCAAAGGAGTGGAGACAGACACTGTGGCACCAAGGCCTCAGCAGAGCCATGCCCTGCTCCTGCATCTGCTGCCTTGACGTTGGCAGCAGGGATATCTGTCCTTTTCTAAGTGCGGGTGGTGGCTCCTTCTGCGTCTGGCAACGGTTGGAGGAAGGGAAACAACAAGCAAAGGATGCTTTTAAGCAAAGACTGGAAACGATGTCCCCTGGCTCTAACTGCTCAAGTTGTTAAGGAACTGGAAAAACATATTTTTAAATAACTTCATTTTTACCCCGCCTTTCTACTCATTGGAGATCCAAAGCCGCTTACAACATTCTCCATTCATCCATCTGAGCTACACAACAACTCTGAAAGGTAGCACAGGCTGAGAGTACATGACTGAGCCCCATGTCACCCAGAGAGCTTCCATGACAGAGAAATATCCAACCCTGGGCCTCTCAGATCTTAGTCCAACACTCTGTGCCCTACCTCACAGGGCTGTTGCGAGGATAAAACGGAGGAGAGGAGCATGATGTAACAGGGATCCATGAGGGAGGGTGGTGAACGCTGCCATACTGCTGCTCTCCTTCTGTTGCGTTGTCAAGCGCCGTATTAAATGAATCTGATTCAGCCCACAGTGGTGGGATCCCAGGGACAGAGCGTTCTGTTTCACAACCCAGAGAGGCAAGAGGCTACAACCCTCCCCTAGGCGGACACTCACTGGTAGCCGACTGGAAAGAGGCGCCCCTCGCACTCCGACAAGTCCGTCAGCATGCCCAGACTATCGATCTTCATGGAACCTAGAGGAGAGGACAGAGTGAGCGGAAAGGCATCAGCCAGCCAGGGGCAGACATAAGAGAACATAAGAGAAGCCATGTTGGATCGGGCCAGTGGCCCACCCAGTCCAGCGCTCTGTGTCACACAGTGGCCAAAACTCAGGTGCCATCAGGAGGTCCACCAGCAGGGCCAGAACTCCAGAAGCCCTCCCACGGTTGCCCCCCAAGCACCAAGAATACAGAGCATCCCTGCCCCAGACAGAGTGTTCCATTCTATCCTTTGTGGATATACCACACAGCCAAGGTATGTGGCGGCCACATTGTACGGCAGGCTTCGGATCCATTAAGGGTGGCAGAGGAGAGGAAGAGGGACAGCATAGCCATCCAGTAGTTTTCCTTGCACAATTTTTTCTTGCAATCACAGAGGAAACATCCCAGTCAACTGAGCCCTGGGGTTAATGAGCATACAGCAAGGAGGGGGCCATTGAGACCTTGGGCCCCCAAGTATCTTGCAGCTGCGCTCTGCTGCTAGTGCTCAGTGGAGGGATACCCACAAACAGGACTGACGCTGCAGGGCAGGGACAAAGCCTCAGACGGGCAGGGATTAATCTCAACCGCCTGAGTTTTGTCTCCCACTGGAGGATGCAAGCAGACCAGCCTGCATTCCAGTTGCAAGGCACTACGGAGAGAAAGGCAGGTCCTGGGGTCCAATGCACTGCGGCCTCACCAAGGAACAAGGTGCAGGGTGGAGTTATTCAGATGAGAACCGTTTGGGTTCTCAAAGAGACTCACCAAGTTCTATGGGACAAAGGCAACAGAGCTGCAGTTCTAGGAAGTCCAAAGGGGATAAAGATCCACCCCACACCCTGATAAAGGGCTGCATCCCAACTCAATTGTCAACTACTGGAAAGCGCTTCTGCCGGCAGAACAGAACTCTGCAGCTCCCCCTGCAACCCTGATTTCCCTAAATGCTCCTCTTATGGGAAGGGGGACCTGCAGGAATGGCATGAAGGGCAAACTGGGGATCTGTAGCAGGAAGGGAGATGGGGTGGAAGTAGAGATGTAAAATTTCCAGAAATTTTGAAGCTTGGAAAAAACCCTGGATCTTTTCCATTTTTTTCCGGGAAAAAATGGAAATTTTCGGAAAAATTGAAAAAAATGCTACATTAGCACTTCTTTTTTCCCCTCCAAATTGAAAGTCATTCTGTTACTTTAGAAACATAAAATATGACTATGGACATTTTTACTTGGCATGAAATTACCACAACTAGCATATTAAAAATATAGTGTATCCAAACAATTATTACGAACAGAATACCCACCCACATGCAAAAACAAAACTGAAACCTTTTTCTTTTCTTGTGACAATAGCACCTCCTAAAGGAAGAAATGCATCTTGTTCTTGCATTGGAGAGTTCAGTTGGTAACCTAGGACTTGCTTGTCCTCAGTGCACAGAAATTAGATCAATCTGATACATACATATCTTTTAGGAATGATTTGGAAAATATTTGAACACCTTGTCTTAAAATATTTTATTCATCATGTTAAAATAAAACGTTCCATAATCAATTTTTTTTCTTTTCTTTTTTCAATTTTTTGAAAAACAAAACAAAAAAGGCTTAAGGAAAAAAATGGGGGGAAAGTCCCCCCCCCAATTTTCCCGTTTTTTTCCCGGGCCTTCACATCTCTAGGTGGAAATGAAAACTCCCCGTCTGTTCCCAGAAAATTGATTCTGAATCTAACCCACGGATGTCACCTGGGGCGGGTGAAGCTTCGAATATTTTCCGAGGACAGCATTTTACCTTCTCACATGTAAATGAATGACGGACATTCACAGCTCTAAGCAAAACTGCAGTGCCTTGGTGGAAGCAAGCTGTGCCTCCCGTTCCTAGACACCAAATAGCCAGATCTCCCCTCCTTTCATAGAATCATAGAGTTGAAAGGGACCTCCAGGGTCATCTAGTCCAACCCCCTGCACAATGCTGAAATTCACAAATACCTCCCCCCCACACACCCCCAGTGACCCATGTTCCATTCACAGGAGATGACACAAAACCTCCAGGATCCCTGGCCGAATTGGCCTGGAGAAAAATTGCTTCCTGACCCCAAAGTGGCGACCAGCATTTCCCTGGGCATGTAAGAAAGGGCCACGAGAACTAAGCACTGATGCAGCCTTTCCTGCCCTCCCTCTCATGATCTGCCTGAGTTCACAGAATCAGCATTGCTGTCAGATGGCCACCTAGCTTCTGTTTAAAAACCTCCAAAGAAGGAGAGCCCACCACCTCCCGAGGAAGCCTGTTCCACTGAGGAACCACTCTGACAGGAAGTTCCTCCTAATGTTTAGCCGAAAACTCTTTTGATTTAATTTCAACCCACTGGTTGTGGTCCGACCTTCATTCCCTCCTCCCACACTACTGGGTGGGGGTGGAGCTCACAATGTTAGATTACCACAAACCTCCACTCCCCCAGCCAGGTTCCCTGGAATACACCATCCTTCCCCTTTACCGCCACTCTCCCCATTGGGGCAATATTGTTCTAGTACTTTACATGAGTATGTCAGGTATCCAAGCGGAAATGATTAGTATGAGGAGGAAGGAACTGCAAATCCCCATCTCTGCATCCCAGTCGTTCTCAGCCCCACTGAACCCACCAGTGCTTGTACTCATCCCTGCAGAAGGCCAGTTTTATAATCAGCTCTTGCGGCTGGAGGTGGTGGGGAGAAGAGAAGAGCCTTCCTGTCTAGTGTTGCCCAACCCCCTTGGTGGAGGTGGGGATCCCACGCAGCCAGGCCCTGCCCACAGCTGCCGATCAGCTGGACAGCAGGGGACTTACAAAGGCCCAGGCCTTGTGGCGGGCATCGCACAGGAAGTGACATCATCACACCAGCAACGTTCAGGAAATGCTCTGGTATTTGTGCAAAATGTCTTATGGTTAAACTGGCTTTTCCCACAGAGTTTTTGCCCAAAAATCAGAGCACCACCTGGATGTCTCTGGTGTGCTGATGTCACTTCCTCTGTGATGCTGGCCACGAGGCCTGGGCTTTTCTCTTTCTCCAGATAAGTCCCCCATCCCCTGCTGATTGCCGGGAGGGACCTGGAAACCTTCCGCCTATCCCATATCCCACGGCTCTGATGAGCTCCACCCTCCCGGCTCCCATTTACCTATCATCATCTTGATGGTGTCTGGCTCCAAGCCCACCATGAATTTCCTCTTGAAACTGATGCCCTCGAAATCGACGTAGACCCGGCGCAAGACATCAAAGCCGTCTTCGGCGACTATCTCCTGCAGGACACAAAATGTTAACTATAGAGCCCTGTTCACAGTGATCGGCTCCCAACCCCTTAAAAAAAAAAAAGGCACCCATTAGGTTTTCACATCAAAACTACATGGGGTGGTGGTGTTCACAGCACAGGTCTCGAGATGCCAAACCCGAGAAGACATCCCCCTTCCTCAAGACCCACCCACCTTCTCCATACAACGGCCCTCCCCCTTACCGTCCCATCCAAGAGGTCGACATGCTTCTGGCAGAAGACCTTCTTGTCATCCTGGAAGGTGCAGTGGCGGAGGCGGGCGCACATAAAGTGGTAATTGCTGAGGCAGGCCGAGAGGCAGCAGCCGACGGTGGCCCCCGTGCGCTGGCAGTGCTCACAGCGCTGGAAGGGGTAGGAGAGAGAAAGGGATAGTCAAAAAGCATGAAGGACCAGCCCCACTAAAGCTTGAAAATGGGAGGACAGCAATGAGCTAAAATACCAGGTCTTAAAGGGGACAGCAATAAAGAACCAAAACGGCGACTGGACAGAAAAAACAATGAATTATAAACTGTTAAATGTATATTGTGTCACAGTGATGGTTAGAAGCACAGGTATATATTAAGGCAAAAAGTCCTCTTAAAGCAGGGCAGTAGTGCAGCTTTTTTGGCAAACTTTAGACTGTTTGGGCATTCGTCACCTTACAGCACTTAGAGATTATGGTGACTTTCTGAGTGAGGTCCCTGACTCCATGTGTTTTATTATGGCACCTGGACTTGAGAAAGATCTCACTTCGAAACAGGTTCCTGTCGTCTGATGATTTACTGCCTTTCAATAAGAGGACCGGTTGCTTCCTTTTTTATTATTTTTTTATAAATGTTTTTTATTGAGTTTTCAAAAGCTTTACAGTGAATAACATAAACAGTTTATATGTTACATATGACTATATGACAACAACATAGCCTAACTCACTAGAAAACTACTTAACATAAAGCCTTCAAATTTGTCATTCTTTCCTTCTTTCTTTTCCTCTTTCCTTCTCTTTCCTTCCTTTTCTTCTCTCTACTCTCTCTCTCTTTCGTTCCCTCTTTCCTCCTTCTGAGGCCCAACTTTAGTGAGAAGGGGTTTTTACTTTAAACCCCTTCTCTCTTCGCTTCCCCTCCCCTACAGGTCAGCTGGGGAAGGGGAGGGGAGGCTTTTGAAAATGTCTTCCCCCCTTTTGCTTCCCCTTCTGACATCACTTCTGGTGATGTTAGGGGTCATGGCATAAGTTAATGAGCTATTATGCTAATAGCCTAGTAGCTCATTAGCATACCTTATGCTATCTTTTTCTACGAAAAGACCCCTGGTGACACGATATACATTTAACAAATGTTTATAATTTATTGTTGTTTTTTCCTGTTTAGTCATGGTTTTGGTTCTTTATTGCTTTCTTGCCCACGACTTCTCCTTTTGTTTTCGGTCTCAAAGGGGAGATAGAAAGGACAACCCTTGGTCTGTATGGTTTTTTTGGGGGGTCACTGCCTGATTGAAACACAACTTGTGCGGCTTCTGCACATCCACGGGCAGCCGCCTTATGCAGGCTGTTGGTGTGTCTAGCTCTGACTGCCTAGGACCCTTAACGGAAATCCTCCAGGAAGGAAGCCTGGGCTCTCCCCTCAGGAGAGGGTGCACTCTTCCTGCTCAGCCTAGGTCTCTCTTCCCCGTGCGCGCACCCTCCATGTCATCCCGGTCAACTTTGCCTCTCCTCCCCCCTCCACTGAAGCCCACCTCACATACTGATACAAATCAAACCCTGGGAAGCATCTCGGTCATGGGTCACCAATGTGGTGCCCACGGGCACCAGAGCGCCCTCTGACACCTTTACTGGTGCAAAGTATTTTTCGAAAGTAGGCGGGGCAAAGAATCTTAGCGAGCCCCTTTAAGCAAAGACGGTGAGGGCTGAAGGTCGCCACTGCATGTTCGATACGTGGAGCCACAGCAGAATCCTTCCACAGGCGAGGAGGAGCTCAGTTGCCCCAGTTGCCTTTTACACAGGAGCACCAAACTTTCTCAAGCTGGCCTATGGGTATTACCAACCCAGCCGAGGCAATCACAGATAAGAATCTGGACCACGAGAGGAGCACCTGGTCTCCATTCATTCTGACTTACCATCTGCCGGCCCCGGGCCACGGCGGCATGCACGTTCTTCAAGGAGCCGTCATTCTCCTCAAAGACTTCAGCCGACCAGATGGCGCAGTTGACGTGGGTCCACTCATTCTGGCCAATGTACAGCAGCCTGCCTGCATCCTGGAGGGTTTGGGGGAGGAAGCGTGCGTTAGACAGTGGGGAAGGGGACCAGGAAGGGATTTGTGTGGAAAGGAAATCTAACTAGGATGCAGGCGAACGCAGCGGTTCGGCCTCCTGACCCTGCTCAGCAATCTGATTACCTTTCTGATACCCAAGAACATGGACCCCTGGTTCCCAACCTCCAGGTGGCGCCTGAAGACTCCAGGAATTTCAATGGATCTCCAAATTACAGAGTTCAGTTCCCCTGGAGAAAATGGCTGCTTTGGAAGTCGGTCTCTGTGGCACTATACACCCCACTGAGGTTTCTCCTCTCCCCAGGCTCCACGCCCAAAATCTTCAAGATTTCCCAACCTGCAATCCTATTACCAACCCCCATTACATACGTCCTCAGCCCCGGAGCCAAAAATTCATCAGTGAGGGGGCTGTAGGGGGGCTCTGACATCACATAATGTGATTTAAAAAAAACCAACAGAAAAAAAGACCCAGTGAGCTCGCGCCTCTGCGAGAGTTGGGAGAGGCGCGGGTTCACTGGGGCTTTGTGCTTCAGCAGCCGAATGGCTGCAGAAACATGAAGAAGGATCTCTGAACAGAAAAGAGGCCCTCCCCCAGGGACTTCCGGTGGTGCCTTCCCCAGCTAGACCCCCTCCTTGCACCTGATCCCCGGGCTACTTGCTTCCCTTGCTTGCTGCAGCAGGCGCCAGCAAGAAAGAGAACGTTTTTAAAGAGATGTATGTCTCTTTAAATCCTGCCCCTTCTCTTCAGGAAGCATGCCGCTGCTGCAGTGCGACCCAGGCAGGGAAGGGCATTTAAACTTTAAATACCTTCTCTCCCTGGAATGCGCCGCAGCGGCAGCATGCGCCTTAAAGAGAAAGGAAGGGATTTAAAGAGACGTAAGTCTTTTTTAAAACCTTCCCTTGTTTGTTGGTGCCTGCCACCACTGGGGGGGAGCTTTTTTGGGGGGGCTCTGTGGCCTTGCTGGGGTTCACCCCTAATTGATAGGGGGCTGAGCCCCTAAAGCCCCGCCGCTGGCTATGGCCCGATGGGGAAAATGCTGTTCCCTCCCAGCCTCCAGGAAAATCCGAAAGCAATACGCACACAAACAGACACACAGCCGTACCTTGGAAGGGGCATCGCCGTACTGGAGGCACAGGGCACACTGTCGCTTGTCTTCTGGGTCAGCGAACTCCTGCTGTGCTAAGGCCTGCTCTGCGTCCTTCCCAGCTACAGGGAAAGAAGGGGGGAAAGGGTCAGGCGCTGGAGAGGAACCCCCCACAGCATCCCTTACCGGGAGAGCATCTTCTGGAAAGAAGGACAACGTCTGGTAGGCAGGCAGAGAGGACCAGAAAGTCCAGAGAGGAGGCCCAGGGCAACGTGTCCTGACCACTGGTTCCCATCCCCTCCTTCCACATACATACTTTTCTGGTGTGGAATATGCTGGAGAGCCAGCGTGGTGTAGTGGTTAACTCTGGCCCATAGCTGTGGTGGGGCTATTGGGGGCTCTGCCCCCTTCCTTAAAGAGCCAGCCCCCTTCTCTAAAGACCCCCCCTGCTTCTTCTCAAAAGCATTTAAAGGGATCCCGTAAATGCTTTTGAGAAGAAGCGGGGGCTGGCTCGTGCCCCTCTCCCTCCCTCCTGAAAGAGCCACGGTGATTCCAGTGGTTAAGACACTGAACTGCAGACTGGAAGGTCGGTAGTTCGGCAGTTCAAGACCCAAGTGCCGCGTGACGGAGTCTCTGGTTCCAGCTCCTGCCAGCCTAGCGGTTTGAAAGCAAGAAATTGCAAGTAGATAAATAGGTACCACTTCGGTGGGAAGGTAACAGCGTTCCATGTGCCTCGGCGTCTAGTCATGCCAGCCACATGACCACGGAAATGTCTTCAGACAGTGCTGGCTCTTTGGCTTGGAAACGGAGATGAGCACCGCCCCCTAGAGTCGGATTTGACTAGCTTTTGAGCAAGGAAAACCTTTACCTTTTACCAGCTGATCGGTGGGCCATGTGCTCCCTGTCAATCAGCTGAAGGGTTCTTTAAATCTTGCAGGAGGGGAGGGAGAAGGGCGTGCACCCCCCCACTTCATTATGGAACATAATGACAGCCCCAGCAGAAATGTTTTTGCCTCACAGGCCACAAAACCCTGGCTATGGGGCTGAGTGGACTCTGATCTGGAGAAGCGGGTTTGATTCCCCCCTCCTCCACATGAAGTCTGCTGGGTGACCTTGGGCCAGTCCCCGTTCTCTCAGAGCTGTCTCAGCCCCACCTGCCTCACAAGGTGCCTGTTGTAGGGAGAGGAAGGGAAGGCGATTGTAAGCTGCTTTGAAACTCCTTTGGGTAGAGAAAAGCGGGGTATAAAGGCCAACTCTTCTCTTCTTTTTCACTGTAAGTGGGAACTCCTGCCGCTGAAGCTCCCCTAGACAAGCTGCTTCTTCTAGATGTGAAACCACATGACAGAGGAAGAGAGACGGCCGATCCTTCCATCCGAGAGCCTCACCTGTCTTCTCTGGTCCCGTGGGCGTCAGGTGACTGTTGGCCCCAGGGCTGAGCTCCTCCGGCTGCTTCCACTGAGCGTAGATGTGGTCAGAGGAGGGAGGCAGGACTGCATTGGGAAGCATGCCGCTGTCGGGAGGAAACAGAAGCATGTGAGGGGCTGGAACCCGCGGCTCCGAAGCCAAATGTGGCTCAGTATGGAACCAAACGTGACTCTTAAAAGAGAATATAAAATCGTTAAATTAAGGTCTACTTGGATAGGTAGGTGGAATGCTGCCCTGACCCGGATGGCCTAGGCTAACCCAACCTCGTAAAACTTTGGAAGCTAGGCAGGCTCGGCCCTGGTTAGGTGGATGCTACAATAGCCAGCGTGCAAAGGGAACGGGACACGCTGCTTCTTAGGGATGCTTCACAGGAAGGAACAACAGAGGTGAACGGCTGCCTGTAACCCAAGGGCGAACCATGCGCAGATTTACTCCAGTGTGCGGGGTCATCCTGGGTGCATTTTATTGCGAGACGTCGTGTGTGCTGTTTCTTAATAAGGGACTTGAAGCAACCAGTGTTTGGGCTGTGGAGACTTTGCGTATTATCAGTCACCATGTTAATGATCAGTAACGTTAAACTGTACATTTCGAGTTATGCAAAGGGCTTTCTAATACTGGCTCTCTGTTGCTCTTTTGCCCTGAATTCTGATGCAGTTTGGCTCTTTAAGTATAAAAGGTTTGCTCTAGAGCACTGAAGCAGTCCCTGATTTGGCACCTGAAAGTAAATAATTTCTTTTATGTCTGCACTCTGCAGTCAACATTCTAAAATGAGACCTTTCCTCCCTGTTGTCATCATCAGAGGTTAAACTTGCTTTTAAAATGTCAGAAGTGCAAAACTGAACGACAAGCAATGTGTGCGGGGAGCACACTGTGCTTCTTTCACCCACTCACCTAAATCCCTTCTAGCAGCTGAAACGTGAGAAAACTGCCTTCATGTTTTTTGGTTTCTCTTTTACCTTTTCCTCCCCAAGTTTCTCTCCTCCAGTAGAGATTTGGAACGTTGCAAACACCACTGCCGAGTTCTGAGTTAAAGGCTCGCACTGTGGCATGAGCGAACCCTCAAAATGCCTGGGCAGCACCAACCTGCACCCGCAAAGTTCCCTCTAAGCTGTGGAGTCTTGAGAGCAAAAATTCTACTCTGTGAACTACTGGGATTAAAGTTGTGAGCGAGTGATTTGGCTACTGAATAAGTTAGTTTGCTCTGGAGCCATTCTTCCTGAGCTAAGACAAAAAGGTGTGAGCCGGGGGCTAAAAAACTGGGAGCTGGCTCACACCAGCTCAGCTGAGAGGGAACAGGACCCTCTCTTTCCCCCTTGGTTACGGAGCACTCACTTGGGGAGGATGCTGTTGCGTGTCCAGTGCTTCGGATCCTGAGCGTCAAACCAGCTGAAGAACTTTCCCATCAGCTGAAGGGACAAGGAGGAGGGTGGGAAGCGACAAGGTGGTTAAACTCAGAGACACTCTAAACTGAAGCGGAATAAATGCCTGCATGGGCAAAGCCCACGGCCGCCTGTATTTCCTCATGCAGGCCAATACCCACACCCCCAGTCCCCTACCCGAGGCCGTTCGGAGTACCTCGATGTAGAATGCCTTTGCGTTAAGGCCAGCCTGGCCCTCCTCCATGTGCCCCAACAGGACGCCCACCATGTCCTCATGGAAGCTGTGCTGCAAAGAGAGAAAGCAGCTCAGCGGAGGCGGTCGCAGGCCCGGCTCCCCCTTCCCGTGGCTCTGGGCCACAAGCCTCACCCCCCCGACACTCACCACAGACGAATAGTGACCCTGCTCAAAGAGCTTGCCGACCGTGCGCAGGTCGCAGGTCCGCAGGTGAACCTTCACGCCGTCGTCGGGGCAACACTGGGACAAGCAAGAAAGGGGGTAAGGAACAGGCACCTGTCAGCAGGGTAATTTTCAGGGAGGGGGGATCAAGTCACGGCTGACTTATGGTGACCCCTCCTGGGATTTTCAAGACAAGAGATGAAAGGAGGTGGTTTGTCATTGGTTGTCTCTGCATAGCAACCCTGGACTTCCTTGGTGGTCTCCCATCCAAATACTAACCAGGGACGACCCTGCTTAGCTTCCAAAATCTGATGCCATCGGGCTAGTCTGGGCTATCCAGGTCAGGGAGTGAGGTAATGCACCACCTAATTAATAAATACATCTGTTCTACAAAGCTAACAGCGACTTCTGGCTGAACTTCCTTATGCCACACAAACTCACAACGGTTGAAACTGAGAATCCCACCACGCAATTGTCCCCTGGGTCCCTTCTGTGGCTGGAGCTCTTGCCAAGTCGCCCTCAGGCAAAAACAGCAACAGCAACTTCAGGTATCTGGTCTCTCTCTACCCGGATAACCAGGTCAAAGGACTAGAGACTGAGTTCCATGTATGAAGACTCGAGAAATTAGGGGGCAGAGAGAGGATCCTAGGTTAGCGTACATCCTGGAAAACGGAGACTGCACTAATGTTAGCACTTAGGGGAACTGGGCTGAAGGCATGCATGGTCTCTATGTAATGTAGTTTCCCCCCGGTGAATATTTGTGCGTATGTGTATGTGTGTGTTATGTGCATGTGCCTGGAAGTCATGTTTGACTTCTGGTGACCCCTAGTGGGGCTTGAACGTTTCAGAGAGGTGGTTTGCCACGGCCTGCCTGTGTGTCCCGCCTCTGACATTCCTTAGAGGCCTCCATCCAAGTACTTGCTGGGGTGGCCCTGCTTAGCTCCCAAGATATGACAAGTACGGGCTTGCCTGGGTTATCCAGGTCAGAGCACTATGTGCTGCACTGACTGGGAAAGGATATATTGGGCGAGCTTCCTCCTGGATCAACCCACACAGAGCAGGGAGAGGTGAGGGGCTGGGCGCACACCTGGAACTGGCTCAAGGTCTCAGACGAGGGCCCTACTGGCACTCCTCAGACCACCCACTTCTGCACTCAGGATGGCTGAGCTCTTTCACTCTACACACCAAGGAATCCGATGGCAAAGTTGCCGACTCCACTCTAAGGACAGGCTTTGGCTCAGATGGCCTTGCTAGGAACACAGATATTTCTCTCTCTTTTTGCATTGGTTGGGGGTGGGGGAAAGCTTCCATCTCCTCAGCTGAGGGGATGCTTAACAGCTGTGGATGTTCACAATTCAAGTCATGAGATGGGCCGAGAGATCGGCAGATGATGGCAGAGGCAGGGATCGCTGTCTCTTCCTTCGTGTGGATCCTTGGTTTCTAAGTTTGCATCGGGCCTAGAGCACCTGCTGAGCAGAATGCTGTCTCTTGCCGCAGTCCCCCGCCCAGGGGGGGCACTAAAACCCTCGTTTCTGCTGCCTGTCTGCCAAAATATATGCACACAATGGGGAGATCTGAGGTTCTTGTGACCCCCTAAGGCAGAGGTGTCAAACATAAGGCCCGGGGGCCAGAACTGGCCCATCCACGGCTCTTATGCAGCCCGTGAGCAACTAGTAAAAGGGAGGAAACAGGAGGCTGCACAAGGGTGAGTGGGCATAGCCACTCTGAATGTGGCTTCAGCATGGTGGAACAACCTTGTCTGCAGCAGTTAAGAAGTGTGGGAGTGCCTGCCCAGTGCTGCACCGCTGGCTCTCCAGTCTGCCCATATGGGTTTTCCTTTGCACCCCCCCTCCTATCCCAGTGAGGATACACCAACTCGGAGCTCTCCAGCTGCTATCCTTTATATAAGTTTACATCTCCAGTATCTGGCATTACATTGTATGGCACACATGGCCCGGCCCGACAAAGTGACATTTATGTCAGATCTGGCCCTCAGAACAAATGAGTTCAACATCTCTGCCCTAAGGCCACTACGCACTGGGTATGAGCACGTAATGTGCAGTTTAACGGGTCACACAAGCTGACTACGCCACAAACCCTGGCCTGTGAAACTGGGAGTCACAAGTGAGAAGGGAACTCTCTGGGGTGGAGATACAAGAGGGCAGCTATTGTAGGAAGTGGTGCATTAAGGGGAAAGGCTCACGAAGGACGAAGCTGCCTTATACTGAATCAGACCGGCAGTAGGTCTCCAGGGTCCCAGGCAGAGGTCTTTCTCATCACTTATTCCCTGGTGCTTTTTAAGTAGGGATGCTGGGGATTGAACCTGGGACCTTCTGCATCCCGCTGATGCTCTGTCACTGAGCCAGGGCCCCTCCCAATGCTTTGCTCTGCCTGCAAAAAGACCCAGATTCGATCCCTGGCGTTGTTGCTCAAGAGGATCTCTGGCAGCAGAGTTAGGAAGGACATGACTCAGAGGAGTTAATGCAGCAAACAATACTCAACCTAAACCAGTTAAGGGTCTGAAGTGACAGTCCCCACCAGGCCCATAGCTACAGTGGGGCTTCTTGGGGCTTGGCCCCGACTTGCTGCCAAGGCCCCACAATTTCCCTTCCAGCCCAGGGCCCTCCCTCCAACTTCCAATTTTTTATTTTATTTATGGCGCTTGTTACTGGCTGCGGACACTCCCTCTCGGTCCAATTCCTTCCCCTCTTTGTGCCCAACTTGGTCCTTTGAGATCCCAAGCTGCTGGGCCTCTCCTCTGTCTCCCCCTCCCTCCCCAAGGCACCAAGCCTGCCTGTGCCAAGAAATCAGCAGCTGGCACAGGATTCCCCCCCCTCCCGCTCCCAAGCCCTACCCCAAAGCCAAGTGGTTGCGGGAAAGTGCGGGAGCAGGGCAGCTCGTTTGGGGTGTGTGCGTGGGGGGACGCCCACCAACTTATTTAAAGACCCCTTGAATTAAAAAATCCTGGCTACGGGCCTGGTCCCCACTGCGTGGGAGAAAAAGACACAAATATTTTTAAATACAGTCAATGGTTCCTTACGTTAGATCTGGGAAGAAAAATGAGCTGAGTATACAACATTGGCAAAGTTAACCAATTATATAAACAAAAGACCATTGAATGAATTTCGGCAGAAGTGGCAGGCTTATTACTCATATTATGGGAATAATTAACTCCCCCCCCCCCGGAATTATTTGAATATCACATTAAAGGGGATGAAGATATTTGATTAAAATTTCAATATTTTATTTTTTATTCC